TGTCAGCGTCAACGCATCAGCAACCCCTTTCCAGCAGCCCAGTGGCTATGGCTCTCACGGATACAGCACTGGTAAGAGACCTGGCAGCATCGTTCTCGGCAGCGGCTACCAACAGTGGCAGGGCTTGTTCATGATCTCGCTGGCCATGTAAGGGGACTGCAGTCTTACTGCCTCCAGCCGTAAGGGAGGAAAATGGCCATGGTGCAACTCGAGGGTCATTTCTTTCTCCTTGGAAAAAGGCCCAGGCTTGCTCTGCATCCGGGATCTGGAGCGGGTTTGAGGAGTGCGGAGCACTTCACACCCTCCTCTGTGCCCAGCAGTTGGATGGCCGGGGCCTTGGACTCACATCGGAGGGCTTAAGCTGCTGGATTGTTTGGGGTTTGGTTTTTTTGGTGTGTGGGGGAGTGTTTTGGGTTGGATTTTGGTTTTTTTTACTGTCTGTACATGATCAATAGAACAATAATTATTCCAGATTTGAGCCTGGGAACTTGTTTGGCCCTTGTGATGGCAGATGTGTGCTTTCTAGAGGCGTCCTCCTTGATCCAAAGATGCAAGAGTGTCGTGAACCTGTCACTTGTCTCTGTACTGGGTTTCACTGGTTGATGTCTGGCTGCCTATAAAGGGCCTGCATTTGGGTCCGACTTCCAGCCTTTAGGCTCCTGTTGTGCCTTTTTTCACTACATTAGAGCCCTTCAAGACACTTTTCTCGTTGCAAAGACACTTCAGCCCTGTACCAGGTCACCTGGTACTGAGTCTTTTGAAACCTCTTTCATCTCAACACATTTTTCTGGGCCTGAAATGATTGCTGAGGCTTTCCTCAGCACCACCGCCTTGAGGAACAGCCAGCATCACATGCGGGTTGTGTGCCAGTGTTGCCGGTTGTCGCCGCAACCATCCCAGCCCACAGCTGAGTTGCCTTTACGTGCAGTTGCCTGTTTTACAGCCAATGAGCTCTCTGGCCGTTCTTGCTGAGAGTTTGTTCCCCTGTCTGTCTGCTGCATCCCCCCAGCTCTTCTCAGAGTTGCTATTTTCTGGGCTTTTCAAAAAATGGGCATTTCTCTGGGTGACAGCAGGCCCCTAAATTTGTTTCTGGAGGCATTTGGAAACTGCTCATGTCCAGAGCAAAAGAACTTAGGCTTGTACGGGCCCTTTGCAGCCTGGCCTTGCCAAGACCCTGCTTCCTAAGACGATGTCCGTCCCCAAACCTTACCTGGCTGCTGGGCCGCTGGAGCTTTCCACCACCTAATGCTGGCGTTTGTGGCAGTGGCTCGTGCTGAACCAGTGGCT